ATATATATATATATATATATATATATATATATATATATATATATATATATATATAGTTCAGGTTGTCAGACAGAAACGTCTGCAGTTATAAAGTGTTTACAAACTATGGGACAAAAATGTTGGCTGCAGTGCTAACTGTTAGGGCTATCAGACACAAACCGTGTAGTGCTAAGGTGTTTACAGGCTACGACGGTAAGCAGTCCAACTCAGTAAAGTCATGGTCACCTTTTACCTTTAAAGCTTTGTAACTTACAGTTGGTATCATTTCTGATTAAAAAAAATAGCAATATATGCTGCACCTTGTTGCTTTTTCTCTAAAAGCAGAACACATGAAAGGCAGTTGGTTGTGAAATGATTTCTTCTTAGTACCTATAATGGTGTGTATTGAAGATTCTCATTCGTCTGCCTCCTTATTTATTTTTAGGTAATGTGTCCAAAGCCTCCTCCATTTTGCAAAAAGCTCAGGCGTTAAATGCCAAACCAGCCGAACTCCTAGAAATGGCCATGCGCAACCTGAAGGCTGGAGAAAAACAGCTGGTTCCCCCTATGGAGGAGGACTCGCCAACAGGTAAAGTTTCATCAGATGAATGCCTGTTTGCTTAACTGTGAAGCAGGATTCTACATCTTTCTTTTTTACCTTTTAAATCTATAATCCTTCGCAGCAGATGTCGCAGAAAGTTGCCCTACCTCCGGTGGAAACCAGGAGGTTCAGCTTCCTGCTCGGGTCCCTGTGAAGAACTCAGTGGAACCGGTTAAACCTGCCAGAAAGGAGCCTGAATCGGAGCAGAAGATCTTTAGTCTGGTCAGCCGACGGGTTTCTCCAGAGGTCCGAGGAGACATTTCATTTAGTCTTCTCCACTTTTGAATCCTTTCTGCTGAATTGAGTAACCTTTTTCTTCTTTAGGATAAACGGATTACACCTCCTGATCCCCGACCTGTTCCACGTCTTTTGGAGTCTTTCCCCACTCCCTCCATTCATCCTCCATCTACAGCAAACCCCCAAACAGTCTGTCAGACACCTAATGGATTCAAGTACCCATATGCAAACAAGTAAATTCTTAATTTGCCTTCATTCAGCATCTGAATTATGTAGGCTTAGGTTTTTAAAGGAAATTGTGTGCTTTTTAGAAACATTTTAGAGTTCCTTGAATGAATGTTTGTCATTCTATTTCTCTCAGCTTCATTACTCCTGTTGTCAAGCGAGGGCCTGAGGTATCCACCTCTGCAGTATCGGCTCACAGAGCTGAAGCGGCTCAGCAGCCCTGCACACCTCTGAGCTACACATCCGGCCTCCAGACTCCACAGGTGAGGCTTTTTAAGGCCTTTCACAGACTCTTCCCCTATGATAAATATTTGCGTGTATATAATATTCCTTTGTAGAAATTCCTTCAAAATAAAACAGAGATCCAAATACAAATTTTTATCAGAAAAGCATTTTGTCCTGTTAAAACCAAAAATGTTTCTGATGGGCCAACTAGAAAGTATTGCATCATTGTTGGATGGTAGGGATAACACATTGGCATGCGGTCACAGCTAGAATTCTTTGACGTGTGTTTCTAGCAAACGGACACAAAAATAGGCTCCTTGTTTTGTTTTTGTTTTTTTGTTTCCATTTTTTTTACACTTTTATTTGAAATAGAGCTGAAATAGAGTTGTTTTGTTTCGGAACACTCTTCTTCTTCTGTTGTTTCAAAACGGTGTTTTGTTTTGGAACAGTCTTCTTCTTCTGTTGTTTCAAAACGGTG